TAAAATATATGTAACATTCTCTTACCAATTTAATGTTACATATTGTTATACCAAGATTTATAATAAATTCAAATGGTTTTAACCAGTTAGCATTATCTTGACCTACTTACTACCAGTCGATATGTTTATTTTTACTGCAGGGAGATTGCCATTACTTTGGCATTCCATATAATTAAGAAATAATGACACATTAAATATAGGCTGTTAAGGTTTTATGTGAAAGCATCCTTTAATTCTTGGGTCACAATTCACATTTTGACTTTATTAGTGGTATATATATAGATTTTTTTAAAGTAATCTCTACACCCAACCTGGGGTTCAAACTCACAGCCCCAAAATCAAGAGTCACATACTCTTTTGGCTAAGCCAGCCAGGTGCCCCTAATATCTGTATTTTTTTTTAAAAGATTTTATTTATTTATTTAGGGGGAGAGAGAGAGCACGTGTGTGCCCACAAAGGGGGGAGGGTAGGCGCAGAAGGAGAGGGAGAAGCAGGCTCCCCGCTGAACAGGGAGCCCCACGCAGGGCTCCATCCCAGGACCCTGAGATCATGACCTGAGCTGAAGTTAGATGCTTAACTGACTGAGCCACCCAGGCGTCCCTTAATTACAAACTGTGTAGAACTTAAAGTTGTTTTGATAAATATAAAACTTCCAAAAGCAGTATTATTAGAAAAATAATCAAAGTTTATAAAAATAAAATGCAATTAAAATAATATATTCTCAGGGGTGCCTGGGTGGCTCAGTCGTTAAGCGTCTGCCTTCAGCTCGGGTCATGATCCCAGGGTCCTGGTATCAAGCCCCGCATGGGGCTCCCTGCTCCGTGGGAAGCCTGCTTCTCCCTCTCCCACTCCCCCTGCTTGTGTTCCCTCTCTCGCTGTGTCTCTCTTTGTCAAATAAATAAAATCTTAAAAAAAATAATACATTCTCAGCTTCCTTATATAATTAATTATAAGGAGTAATTTATGGAAATGTACAAGGCATTTAATACAAAATTTTCCTATTTGGAATGAATGTTTTTCAAAGTTGGGATTCCAAAATTGATCTTTGACCAAGGGTGAGGTGGTGGTTGGTTTGATCCCTACCTTCATGGGGCCTGGCATTTGCTAATCATCAAGATTTAAAATGGCAATTTTTTCCCCCCTTTGAGGCCCTCATCACAGCTCAAGCCTCTAATTTATTCTTTTGCTGGTAGCTTGTTTCTATCAGTCCAAATTGAATTTTTCTTTTTGGGTTTAAACCAATAATAAAAAGGATTAATGGCTTAAAATAGTTTAATTTACTTAACGGTTAACTGCATATGCGGATAGTCTCCCTGACACTTTCTGGCTAATAAACACACATACCATAGACATTCAAAAAGTCAAAGAAAAGGTCTTCATGGTACAGCTTTTACCAACAAAAACCTCATGATTTCAATTAAATTTGTATTTAAGTCATTTTTACGGAGGATATTTTTCAAACAGATGGTCATTCTTGAGACTAGGTAATTCAATTGCTAAATGTGAACTGTTTACAGTGAGAGCTATTTAAAATTCAGCATCTACTAAACGCTTCCAACTAGCCTGGGGTCCCTTCAGGAACTGTCCTATTCAGCTCTGGCCATTTGGCTGAGTTCAGAGAGCTTTCCAAATGCAGACACAGCCACTGTCAGCAGGATAGGCTTTTTCTGGGCAGGAAGAGTTGATCTATTTACTGGTGGTGGAAGGGGGCAGGACAGCTCCTCTGGGTGAGGGATACTGTTGGTTAACACTCTGCCTTATCCCCAAACCATGATTTCCAGGGCAGACGAGAGACTTGGCGTCTGCTTTTCCTGTAGGAAGCCTCATCTTCCTTGAATGCCTCATCTGTGGTCCATTCCTAGTCTGTTCTCCATGACGATTTGGAACAGTCTAGCGAAGAGTCCAGAGCAACCCAAATCTAGGGAGTGACGGAGGTGGATATCAACAATGCTGCTCAAATTTTAACGTGTTTGTGAATCACATGGGGGTTTTGTGAAAGTGCAGATGCTGACTCAGTGGGTCTGGGGTGGAGCCAGGGGTTCTGCATCTCTAGTGAGCTCCCAGGTGATGCCAACGCTGATGGTCCAGGGACCACACTTTGAGTGGTGAGGGACTATAAGGGGTGAATCAGGTATGTACACGGTTGAGATCCCCCAGTGTCCTATTTTTGGCATCCTTCTTCTTTTCCTTTGTTCTCTGGGGACGATGAAGCCAAGCTCGATCCTTGAGCTGTTATCCTCATAAACAGAGCCTGCCATGTGCCTGTTTAACTTCTCTTACTCCTCTGCCTTCCTGGGCTCGTTCCTGGGCCTGAATGGTAACAGTGGTCCTCAGCGCAAGGGTCAAGAAGGGACCTCACCAACTTCTCAGTTCATTTTCACCCACTGTGGTCCCCATTCTTTATAACCCAGAGCTGTACAGGGGCGCCTGGGTGGCTCAGATGGTTGAGCGTCTGCCTTCGGCTTGGGTCATGATCCCGGGGTCCTGGGATCGAGCCCCACGTCGGGCTCCTGGCTCGGCGGGGAGCCTGCTTCTCCCTCTCCCTCTGCCTCTCTCCCTGCTCATGCTCTCTCTCTCTCTCTCTCTCTGTGTCTCAAATGAATAAATAAATCTTAAAAAAAAAAATAACGCAGAGCTGTACATACAATTGGCCCCCACCCTTCCCCATGATGTCTTCTGAGACCATGACATCTGGAAGCACCTTAGGGCAAACCTGGAAAGTTCCTATGCTGGCTCGATGCAGTTATGGTGTCTGGGAAGGTGGGGTTACAAAGCTCTTAAGGAACTTGGAAGAACTAGAGATGTTTGTGACCTTCAGGTAGAGGAGATGACCTCTTCATACCTAGCTGGAGTGGAGAGGCTGTGTTCTTAGAACCATAATTCAGCAAACTCCAAGAACGCTATCTGAAGGGTTTCAGGGTTTATCATCTTGTAAAGCTTTTTCATTTTCTCATTCCTAACTTCTTAGCCCTGTGTTATCCTGGAAGGACTAAAGCCTTCCTCAGTGGGATTCATTCATTCCTTCCTCCAGTGACATAATGACCCAGTTTTAGGCCTTGTGACCGTGCAGGAACTCCCTTCCCAAATGCCACTGTCCTGCAGGAAAGTGGAAGATTCGGCTTCAGCCCTGCTCATCACTTACTGTCTTTCTTCTATTTCTGGTCCACTGTGATGCTTATCTTGTTTCTGAGGCTGGTTTTTGCTTTTCAGATTCTCTCTTTTAAAATCTATTGTTGCTGTATGCACTGGGAAAAAGTTCCTGTCACCTGACTGTAAATCTGAAGTTCTGAAAGTGGGTTTTCTATACCACTGTTTTAAAGCAGATGAATAAATGGTCAGGGCACTTTAAACATCTATCGTTGGATTAAGGAAGACTTGGGAGTGGTGTACCTGATTGCTATTGCATTATGCCTTCTACTTATAGCAAAGGCCAGAGCAGGAAGCAGCGCAGGGAAAATCTTTGCTATATTTCAGAAGTGCTGGGGACGCTATTTTTTTTTTGCAAATTGCCTTTTATTATTTTTTTTAAAGATTTATTTATTAGAATGCGCACATGAGCTGGTGGGGGAGGGGAAGGGAGAGAGGGCAGGGGAGAGGAGAGCCTATCTCAAGCCGACTTCCTGCTGCATGCGGACCCTGACAGGGGCTCAATCCCATGACCCTGATCATGACCTGAGCCGAAATGAGGAGTCCACGCTTAACTGACTGAGCTACCGAGGCGCCCTGCAAACTGCCTTTTAAAACAAATGAGGGGGTGCCTGGGTGGCTCAGTCGTTAAGCGTCTGCCTTCGGCTCAGGTCATGATCGCAGGGTCCTGGGATCCTGCATTGGGCTTCCTGCTCTGCGGGAAGCCTGCTTCTCCCTCTCCCACTCCCCCTGCTTGTGTTCCCTCTCTCACTGTCTCTCTCTGTCAAATAAATAAAATCTTTAAAAAAACAAAACAAAAAAACCCAAATGAGGTTCCATGGGTGAGAGCTCTGTCACCATCAGGAATAATTATGCTTCTCTTAGGAACGAGAACATTGAATCATAATTGATGAGGTACCCTTTTCCTTCTGGTCTTAGGATGCTCACAAATTGGTGAACCACATGTGCAAGAACACCAGGCAGCCTTTTTAGTGCTGGTCTGTCTTCAACTTGTTTTCAGTCCTTATTATAAAATATTTAGAGTCCCCCCCCAAAAAAATATATATATATAATATACAGTTGCATTGTATATATAATATATATAATTGCGTTGTGAATTTATGTAATTTATTGTAAAATCATTTTTTTAAGGATTTTATTTATTTGGACAGAGAGAGACAGCAAGAGAGGGAATACAAGCAGGAAGAGTTGGAGAGTAGAAGCAGGCTTCCAGCTGAGCAGGGAGCCGATGTGGGGCTCCATCCCAGGACCCTGGGACCATGACCCCAGCGGAAGGCAGACGCTTAACGACTGAGCCACCCAGGCGCCCCTGTAAAATCATTTTTGCAATAAGGTCTAGAATAATCTAATAAACTCAGTCTCACTTTATTTTCCCAGCTGGACTGGGTAGAGGCTGTATGTTAGTTGAGTAACTAACCAGTATGGTACTAGTTAATGTACACATACCCGCAGCCCCTTCTTCAATCTGGCTCCCAGCTCTCCAAGAAAGGGAGGACAGACTTTGGCTTAAACCAGCCAAATGGGCCTAATCCCTGGTCTCCAACCTTATCAACCTCCTCTTCCTAACGCCTCTTTTCTCCCTCCTTCACACCTTCCCCCACCAGTGTGGGGCGGGGGGGGGGCACCCAAGCTCAGGCCTCCCTCCATCCTCACCCTCCCAGCCCCAGCTCAGCCTCCCTCCATCCTCACCCCTCCCTCCATCCTCACCGCCTTCCCCAGCCCGCGCGGCCTCACCCCTATGGCACGGCCTCTTCCGGCCCGCGGGAGGGCGGGCGTGGGGCGGGGCCGGGCGGGAGGGGAGAGCCGGTGGTGCGAGCGTCCGGGGCTCGCGCCCCGCCGCCGGCCGGCCGGTCATGCTCATCACGCTGTGCTACCTCTACCTGTGGGCGCGCTGGGGGCGCCAACCGGCCGCGCTCGTGCGCGCGACGGTGCAGCGGCTGCGCGCCTCGCGCTGCTCCTTCACCTTCTGCGGCGCGGCCGCGCGGCCCCAGGGCGCCCGCGTGTGCTTGAGCCGCGGCGGCCGCGTCTTCTGCGTCGGCGAGAGCCAGGTGGGCGGGCGCGGGGCCGGCGGGGTGCGGGGCGGGGCCGGGGGCGCGCGCGGGGGGGGCGGGGCCGACGGGAGGCGCGGCCTCGGGGCGCAGTCGGCCGGAAACGCCGGCGGGCCCCGCGCTGCGCCCGGGCTGTGCGAGCCGGGAGGTCGCGGGATTGGGGTCCCTGCGGGGGCCGGGCTTCGGGTTGCCTCTGCGTGCGATATCCTCGGGGGCCCGGACGGGGGGGACCAGAGGTCCGGAGCTGCGCCAGGCAACACTGTCCCCGGCGTGCCGGGTCGACTGTATGCGGATGCATGGCTCCTGCCGTTCCAAATCTGGCGATTAGCACTGCCCACCTGCAGTGTCTTTTCTGACATCCTCTCCTCCACTGTGGCTGCATTTGGGTTGAACCTGAATTCACAGAAAGACAGCAGATCGTCAGCCTCTGTCAGATATCTCCGAGGGGACAAAACGGCCCTGTCAGTGGCGAGTTTTACCAACCAGGGCGCCCCACTCTGCATCTCTTTGACTTCGGTTTGCACACAGACTTTGTTTTTGACCCAATACTTAGCCTGATAGCTGCAAGTTCAGCAGGCTCTTTCACCTGCGGGTCGTTTAGCAAAACTAATGTCCCCTTTCTGTAAAAGGGGACAGCAGTTCCATCCATTCAGCTGTTGGAGGTGGACTTGACTTCACGGTGCAGTTCTGCCCAGATTTCCACTGACATCACTAATACTGTTTTCATTAGCATTTAAAAGTGTTTACTTTTAATCGGTTTGTTTCCCTTTCCTCTTCCCTCCGGAAAGTTGGCTCACTTTTACCATTAAAGTAAGATTTTCTACGTGTGTGAAACCATAACACCCGCGTGGGAATTAAAATCTTATCTCAGGTTTGAGTACTTTGTTGTATGCTTAAGTATGGAATTATATCGTGCTACTAGCAAATCAAAAATACCCTTCCTTGTTAGTATACTATAACACACAGAAAATGAGTAACTGTTCTCTCAGTTCTGAGAGAGTGCTTAGCTAGGATCACTTAGATGCAAGACAGCGAGACACTCATTCCACTTGAGGGCCCAATGAACTAAATAGGGCTTAATTCTCTCAAGGAACCAAGATTGAGAGAAATAACAAAATAAAGAAAAATTGAGGGGTGCTTTTTTCTATTGCAGTGGTGGACAATCTGGATTCATTTACTTAAACTTTAAGATTTGAATTAGAGGGGTGCCTGGGTGGCTCAGTCCATTAAGGGTCTGCCTTCTGCTCAGGTCAGGATCCTGGGGTCCTGGGATCTAGCCCCCCTATCAGGCTCCTTGCTCAGTGGGGAGCCTGCTTCTCTCCCTCTCCCTCTGCTGCTCCCCCTGCTTGTGCTTTCTCTCTGTCAAATAAATAAAGAAAATCTTAAAAAAAAAAAATTTCAATTAGAGTAAACATTTTGGACATTCAAAAATGTTGAGATGTAAATATTTTTAATTTTCTTGGAAGACAGTTTTACTTTTTGAACATCTCCATGACTTTACTGATCTGCTAACTACCATAACTATAACCAGGGCTTTTCAGCTTTTTTCCTACCGTTCCAGCCTACTCTGGGGGTACCGCTGCCAAGCCAGCTTTGGGTTTTCAGGGATTCTGGAACCTGATGCTACGCTCCTGCTCTTTGAAGTTAACTTTGCCTCACTGTAGAGCTTTGCTCAGATATCATTGTCTCAAGGAGATGTTCCTCATTCTTCACACTAGATGGGATGGGCCTGCGCTGTGCCCTCATACGCTTTAAATCACCCTTCATACTTCTAGTTTTTATCTTTTTCTCCCTAGGAATTGGGTCTTTTTAGCTTAGCTTAGCAGTTTGCCCTGTGATAGTCACTCAGTATTTCAGTGAATGAGGGAGTGTTTAGTGGTTGTTGGGTTTCAGCTCTGACGGGTAAAGCCTGTGATTGGAAAACTTGACTGTGATTAGCTACTGTTGATTTCAGCTATGAAATATGGTGGGGCTAATGATTTGGTTTGCTAGCTACCTTGTCAGTCTACCTGGACTAAAGTAACTTTACAGAAATGAATCTTACGTCTTTGTTGTCTCCTTACTTCATATATTTAGAATCAGATGCATAGAATGTATATGTGTATATAATTGAAGTTCCCATAGAAATTGGTAACTATAACCAAAGAGTTTATACACACTGGAAATTTTAAGCTTTTTGTTTAATATACACATGTTCTGTGTTTGAGTAAGGTGGACAGTCTTTTTTGTTGTTAACTGCTATATTTATTTTTTATTTTTTTGAGATTTTATTTGAGAGAGAGAGAATGAGAGACAGAGAGCATGAGAGGGAGGAGGGTCAGAGGGAGAAGCAGACCCCCTGCTGAGCAGGGAGCCTGATGTATCCCGGGACTCCAGGATCATGACCTGAGCTGAAGGCAGTCACTTAACCAACTGAGCAACCCAGGCGCCCTGTTAACTGCTATACTGATAATTATGTTAACCCATGGAGAGGTGTTTTCTCTCCCCCAAATTTTCGTTCATTAATTAGTTCAGTCGATATTTATTAATAGTCTACTATGTGCCAGGTTAGTAGGCCAGGTGGAAACACCTTCTGATCCTCCCAGATCAAAAGGGCAGATTTGAATTGGTAAACAGGGTGTGGAGCCTGACCTTTTTTTGGTGGTGATAAAAGGGCTCACCCCTGCAGCCTTAGATGTCCGCTTTTCTGCTCTGGATATGCATTGTTTTTAGTGGTTTAAAGCCTTTAAAATTCACTTACTGTCCTTTTAGAGAGGTTTCAGGAGGGAGAGCAGAGATAAAGGGACAAATCCAATCTGATAACCAATGCTGATGCTATCTATAATGGCTAGAGGAAATGGAAGAAGAGTTCTTCAGGCTTCTATTAGTAATGGGTTTCTTTTGACCAGCATGCACTCCTGAGCCTCCTCACCTTTAAATGTGCTTCTGAGTTGTGAGTTGGGAAGCTCCTCATGCTGTAAGCAGTAAGGAATGGTGGGGGTAAGCCCAGCTTCAGAATTGATGGTAGATCACACATATCTAGAGATGTTAAAATTCTCATGGATCATAGAAGGGATCTTGCAGGTGTTTAAATAGTCACAGTTTAACCAGAGGCTCAGGGTTAATGTGGTCTGTAGGAGGAGAGCATCCGATTAACTTATTTAGATTCCACCTGAGGGTGCCTGGGTGGCTCAGTTGGTTAGATTCCACCTGGAATTACAGAGGAGGGGAGGTCCCAGATGTTGATATAAGTGACAGTTGTGATTTGAAGTGATATTGAATCCCCTTTTTGTGTGTTTCTTTCCCTCTGTCCAGTCCATTGATGACTTGAACAAATGGGCCCTGTTTCTTGTCTCTCCTTTTATACTTGAAGCAGAACACATAGCATTTGTGACAGAGAGCATTTGGGTGCAAGGTGAGAGTTTACAGAGACCGGCTTCCTCTTCAGAAACCGTGAGTAACATGTTTTTCACTTGTGTCCCAAAAGGAAATGATGTCTTAACCAAAAGTAGATTTGTTTTTCCCCCTGTTCTTTCCTGGCCTTTGTGACCCCATTTCTTTTGTGGACATTTTGGGTTAAAGAAAAATGTATTATTAAAATCATTTTCACCTGTTTTCTTTTTACTTTTTTTAATGTGGCTGCTAGAAAAACTGCCTGGGTGGCTTGTGTTTGTGGCTCACATCATGTTTTCACTGGGCAGCGCTGCTGGAGGGGCATCTAACCCATCCCTCCACTTCTTCAAATCGGCCCGAGTGGTTAACTCATATCGCCATGCACTTCCTAGACATCTCCCCTGGAGTATTCTGAAAACACTTCAAACTTAATGACCTGTCTAAAAGTCGTTGCTTCTATTTCTCTGCTGGAAAAAAAAGAGAGTCTCAGAGGAACACCCCAGCCTGTTCTTCCTCTCAGTCCAAATTCTACTGATGCCCCTTCCCCGGCTGTCTCCACTCGCCTCCTTCGTTACCACTCCTTGTTTCGTGCTCAGCCTCAGACCTTTTGGTCTAAACCATGGAAATATCATCCTGTCTGTGTCTGTGGGTTTTCCTCTTGATGGCCAGAGTTCTCTTTCTAGACACAAATCCAGGGAAACACACTGTTGCTCAAGCTTCAGGGGGCGCCTTCTCACCAGACGTGGTCATGTCCTTAGGCCCGTGAAGTCTGACCTAAGCCCCTCTTGTGGATGTCTTTCGCCTTGGGTATCTGTGATGAGTCCTTGCCTTGCCGCCTTCACTCAGCCACCCTGTGATCCCTGCCTGCCACTTGGTAATCCAGCAGTGGTTTTGCTGATGATAGCCATCGTCACTGGATTTCCATTTTACAAACACCATCTTTTTTTTTTATTAAAGATTTTTATTTATTTATTGAGAGAGAGAGAGAATGGTAGAGAGAGAGCATGAGAGGGAAGAAGGTCAGAGGGAGAGGCAGACTCCCCGCTGAGCAGGGAGCTCGATGCGGGACTCGATCCTGGGACTCCAGGATCATGACTTGAGCCGAAGGCAGTCGCTTAACCAACTGAGCTACCCAGGCGCCCTACAAACACCATCTTTAAGCCATTGTATTGGGATGAGAGAAAAGGAAGAGAGGAGGAAGACTAGACAAAAATTGACTAGAATTCAAGGTAGACTGAAATAAGGGCCACGAGATCAATAAAGATATTTAAAGGAGAGCAAGAAACTGTGTTTGGGGGGGTGCCTGGGTGGCTCAGTCGTTGAGCGTCTGCCTTCGGCTCAGGTCATGATCCCAGGGTCCTGGGATCGAGCCCCACATCGGGCTTCCTGCTCAGCGGGGAGTCTGCTTCTCCCTCTCCCACTCCCCCTGCTTGTGTTCCTGCTCTCAATCTCTCTCTCTTTCTGTCAAATAAATAAATAAAATCTTAAAAAAAAAAAAGAAACTGTGTTTGGGACTCAGAAGGGGCTTAAGGTTTGGCAGGTGGTCCGAGAGCCACCAGTGTGCTGTGACGTTCCATTCCCTCCTGATGTTTTATCGACTTAGGATAATGGTAATAATACCATTTATCCAGCCCCTGCTAGGCATTTTACATACATTGCTGCAATGCTTACAATTCTGTACGATATTATTTTTGTCATTTTAAAGAGAAGAAAACTGAAGCCCTAAGATTAAATTCTTTGTTTTTCTTTTTCTTTCTTTCTTTCTTTCTTTCTTTCTTTCTTTCTTTCTTTCTTTCTCTCTCTCTCTCTCTCTCTCTTTCTCTTTCTCTTTCTCTTTCTCTCTTTCTTTCTTTCTTTTCTGAGGGATAAGGAGAAGCAGGTTCCCCACTGAGCAGAGGGAGCCCAGATGTGGGACTTGATCCTAGGATCCTGGGATCATGACCTGAGCCGAAGGCAGATGCTTAACGACTGAGCCACCCAGGTGCCCCTTAAAGGGCATTTCTAAAGCCACCAGCTGCTAAGTGGCAGATAAAGTTTTAGCCAGTGTCCGTACCCTTTTTAGGAGCCAGAGGAATGCATTACTAGTTTTAAAGAGATCTAGACATAGCCGTTTTCTAGGCGTAACAGCAAAGCTTATATTAACCTGAGGCCAATCCAGCAATGCTTGTAGCTCTTCTCCTGTGTTTGGTAGAAAGATGCCAACTGGTGATGTGAAGTTTTTTGGTGAACTCAAGCGTAATTTTTATACGGAGAAGAAAAGACTATTCAGAAACTTCCTTTTTGTTTAAAACAATGATTTTCAATGTATTAAAATTACAAATTATCAATTAGGTTGAATTGTGAAATGGCCAATATTGGCTTTTTTTTTTTTTCTTAACCTATGAGGAGTCCATTCATGGTAACCTAATTGTTCTGATTTGGGCTTTTAAGTCCTAATTTGCCATTCTTAGAAATTTAGCCAAAGTTTGTGATCACGTTTGGTGGAATTTCTGGATAATATTTGTCCTGTTTAGAAGTTCAGATATCTTAAAACATTGTAGTTTATTTTGGGACTCTAGCTGCACAGACTTGGATTAATCCTAATCCTTGATCAAAATGTACTCTCATCATTGGTTCATGTATGGCCCTCATTCGCTGATGAATTTGAAATTATATAATAAATACCCACGAATTCACCACTGAGTATGGAAATGGAACGTGTGTACCTATGTGATCCCCCAGAGTCTATCCACCTATTCTGCCCCCCCGCCCCTACCTTCTCCCTCTCCAAACCAATTTCTTTTTAAATACATAAGTCATGGGGCGCCTGGGTGGCTCAGTTGGTTAAGCGACTGCCTTCGGCTCAGGTCATGATCCTGGAGTCCCTGGATCGAGTCCCGCATCAG